CCTTCTCCCAATCATTACTAATTGAATGTTTTTTAGATCATTCAAATCGGATGCTCCGTTCTCTCAAAAACTCGATTTCTATTTTCTGCACTCTTTGCTCCTTATCTCCGTAACTGCTGGACCTGCCTTTGCCAAAAACTAATCAGCACATCTCCCTATCAATAGGAATCGAATGTTTTTTAAACCATTCAAATCGGCTGATCCGTACGCCCGAAAACGTGGGCGAAAATTTGTATCCATACATACATACACACACACACACATCCATTTTTTCTGAAGTATGCCAAAATATTCAGAAACCTTCGAACCATCGAGAAATGTAAAAATTTTCAATTCCAATTTTCGGCCCATTACAATAACTTACCCTACGGGAAAAAAAGTATGTGTGTGTGTGTGTTTTTTTTTTGTATAGCGAAGGAAATGCCTTTATGCATCCCAGACTGGTCTTTTGTCTGGGTATGTCGGACTCAATACCGCCCTGGTATAATACCGACTAAAACCTCCGCTTTGCCCTTGCCTCTGGTCCCAAGGGGAACCACCGTTAGGCATTTGTGGGGGAGGATCTAGAATGTTGTCATTCTTTACTTGATTTTATACTCATCTTTTAAATGGCCGAAGTCTCATTCGTCCTTTCTCTTGCCATAGAGCGTGTGTGTGTGAACAGATTTTTTGCCGTAAATCGACGTTTTCTCAAAAAACGGCTGGACCGATTTCAAAAATTTAAAGGCCTATTTGTCAGTTTTTTGCGACGATCGGTCAAACCGTTTCTTTATAAATCGCAGAAAAGTGAAAAATTTTTCGTCTACGTTTTAACCCGCAATTCTGAATCGATTTTGAAAATTCAAAAACCGTTCGAACGATATTGGTTGGGAATCGTGCTGATTAGTTTTTTGGTAGAGATCGGCCGGGTCGTTTTCTTGTAATAAAGTAAAAAAAAAATTCGACGATTTTTATGATTATTTTTTTGACGGTAGACACCATAGTCTTCTAGATCATACTAAAATATTACAGCCCTACGACAACTGGTTTAACTTTAAAAATTCTTCAAAGTTTGCAAAAATAAGTATGGTCTTTTTGGCATTTGTCAAAATTAGAACTTTCATCGACGTTTTCTCAAAAATTCCTGAACCGATTACAAAAATTTAAAAACCATTTGATGTATTTCGATGAGGATTATTTCATCGATCATTTGAGTATTTCTCAGTTTTGTGCGACGATCGGCCGAGCCGTTTCTTTGTAATTTGAAAAAAAGTGTTAAACTTTTCGTCCACATTTAAGCTCATACTACCGAATCGATTTTAAAAAATCAAAAACCGTTCGAAAGATATTAGTTGGGAATGATACTGATTAGTTTTAGGTGAAAATCGACCGAGCCGTTTTCTTGTAATTAACTGTTGAAAAAAAAATTTAAGCCGATTTTTATGGAACTTTTTTTGGCGATATATATCATGGTCTTATAGAGCTTACTGAATTATTGCGGTCTTACGACAAGTAGTAGAATTTTAAAAATTCATCAAAGTTTGAGAAAATGAGTCGTTTTTTGACGTTTGTTAAAAATAAAATTAGATGATTTAGTTGGTATAACTATACTGTACTTGGTCTTGAACATAGTAAACCATTAACGTCCTATGGAAACTGGTTCATTTTTAATAATTGTTGATTTTTGAAAATTTACTTTTGGAAAATACTCCGAGTTAACGGGTTCCTTCGTTATCAATTATGTGTAATAAATCCGCTAGGAATACTTTTAATCACTCATAAATTAATTTATATTTTATTGATTAAGTCGATTATTCACACATGTCGGGAAGTTCATATAACTTGCCTCAAGGCTAAATACCAATACCAACTCGTTATATTTTTCTCAGATACTACATGCAGTGTCTCCAAGAAGGCTCCGACACCGAAGATCTCCTGGTGTTCCGAGTGGCATCTCTCTGGTTAGAAAACACAGGGCCATCACCAGATCTCAATATCACGGCTTTGAGTTCGAGGAACACGAAATTTATACAATTGGTCAACAGGGATTGAAGATATAGCGGCTTATAAATTTCTACCGGTTTTGCCACAACTTGCCCCCAGGCTGGCCGACGATCAGGATAATAGGACTTTGACGGAACTAATAGGTAATAGATAATAGATAGATAAATAGATAGATATTGTATGTTATATTTATGATATTTGTTTTTTATTCTAGAGACATGTGCAACTGTTCATCCGTACCACACTTTACCGATTGTGATGTCGTTGGCACATGCTTTGCAAGATACAGACAACAAGACTAAAGATGATAGAGCACAGGAATTTTTAATATAGTTGTCAAATATCTCCCTTCCGCCTTTTTGTATTATAAACCAAGAGCAAAAAAGCGGAAGGGAGATATTTGACAACCTAATATACATACATATATATATATATATATATATATATATATATATATATAATATTATATATTATATATATATATATATTATATAACATTATATATATATATATAATGTTTAATGTGGGTTTAAAATTCGGGCATAACATCAATAAAAATAGTAAGAGTTTTTTTAAAAGTTTATTTAAAATCCATACGTTTCGGCTAGCATCTTAGCCATCATTCAGTGGTAATCAAATTAACTATAAAAATTGAAACTAAATAAATTATATGTAGAAATTTCATGGAAAAATAATAATAATAATAATAACAATAATAATAATAAAACGCTTACAATTTTGTATCCTAATATAGCATATGAAACCATTATTAATCCACGGTATGAGTATGTGCACATTGATAAAATATATATTTTTTAACATCACAAATGGTAAAACACACTAATAACCAATATAACTTAACAAGTTGTCGAAACTATGTATTTACTCTTCGGAGTTTAAGATAGAAATGTCACATTTTTCTCAAAGCAGCTTCTAGCATTTGTTCAAATTTTACTGGAAATTTAAAAAGCGATAGGATCTTGTCATTTTTTAAGAAGTTTTGACACGCTATTAAGAAACCACGTGTTTGTTTCGTTCAGGACCATATTGTCGAAGCGTTTGTTTATGACACTGTCGTTATGCAATTGCAAAAACAAACCCTCAGCAAATCTTCTTTTAATAACGTTCTCTTCAAAATGTAAAATTTTAGGGTTGAAAAAATCGATATTATGATTTAAATTTTTAATATGCTCAGTAAACATCGTCTTAAATTGCTTCGGATTTTTTGAGTTGTTTTTATGTTGATGAAGGCGTTTAACTCAGGTTTTGGCTAGTTTCTCCAATATAGAGTTCGCAATTAGAGCAATAAAAAGATAATAATATCTAAATTACATTTTTTTAAATAATAATTCGATATACACTATTACTTATTTGCGTGATATTTTGGAATCTCTCGAATCAAGTTAATTCTAGATGAAATACGATTAATTTTAATTTTGGTGGAAATCTATGCATAAAACTATTTGATTTAAATGAAAAAAATAAACAGACCCTTAACAGTACTCATTTTAAAGCATATTTTCAACTATAAAACCCCATTTTCATATCTAGCTTAATATTGTTCCTAGGACTCGTTATACAACACTGATATATTAAGATTGTAATTTATATAATTTTGTTCATTACATGATTCTTGTTAAAATATGTATTTTTGGAGATATTTGCAAAAAAACATTGAAAAATGCCAAAAAAGCGAATTTTTAGTAGCTAGTAACTTGAAAAGTATTTGCTTTTTTGAAAAACATTATAAAACATTTTTCTCTTATAATTGGTTCTTTTATCGATATCCGATGTTATTTTGAAAAGAAACTTGAAATTTTGAAAGAAAGAAAATTACGCCACTGAGAGGGAAGTCATCACTCCGGGAAGTGGCAAAAGGATCTAAATTATTTTCACTTTTGAACTTGAGAGTAAGATAAACCTAATTCCAAAATTTCATATAAATTGGAGCACAGTAAAAAAAATTTGATCCAAAACGCTCCATTGATTTGAGTAAATATTCCGTATTCAATGCTAAATATATGAATTTTTGACACAATGAAACATCTAAATAATTTTTTGAAAAAAGTATATTTTTTTTTGTATTGTGATATAGTAAAGTAAGGCAAAACACGACTGCATTTAAAAGTTAAAAAATAATAATCAGTCGAAGTGAATTATAGGCTAAGTTTGATGTGCAATCACTGACAGACGCATGCGCAGACTGCATCACCTGTCAGATGTTGACTGTAAATCTTATATTATTTTAATTTTGGCTCATCACAGCTGCTTTTTGGCAATAATAATGTAGACATTACATTTTCCTCATTTATAATCATGAATTTATTATATTTTAATCTTGCTTTAGCCTGTAAGTGAATAGAAATGTTTGGCAAATGACAGTCTTCATTTGTTTTTAATGTCAAACTAAGCTTCAAATATTTCCAAGGTCAAACAATGATAAGCGCCTTTTTTGTAATTTTTTCTATTTATTTCTGCAATCTAACTATATTTCTATGAATCTAAAAATTCTAGAAAATTTCCTGAACAAACTTCAGGAAAATTTATCAAAATCCGAATTATCGTTTAGAAGGATTATCTTTTCATTCCCCATCATAGAAGAATTTTATATATGATACATATATATATATATATATATATATATATATATATAAGATATATATCATTTACATTTTTCAGGAAAGTCGCATCAGAGCAGCACGCAAGCTGATCCACAAATTGAAATCCAAGAAAAATTTGCAGAATATAATTGTCGACATGGAAAAAGTATCATTGGCTCTTATAAGATTTGCAAATTATGCCATCAATCCGGAGATGTTGAGGAAAAGCAAGAAATTTAAATTGCCCAAGAGCGAACCGATATCTAGGCTTAAAAATTTGACAAACACACCTGTACCTACATTGGAATGCCTGTGGTGAAAAATGGAGACTACAAAATATCACAAGTAATAATAGTCATATATTATATATATTATATATATATATATCAATATTCTATTATAACTTTTATTTATTTTATGTGGTTCATTGGGACGACGAGTTCACAATGGTTGGTGGTATAAACGCTCCCAAAAAATTGATATGTAGAGGCAGCGATGGTGTTCCGAGACCTCAACTTTTGAAAGGCAAAGACGATTTAAGGCAAGATGCTGTGATGCAGCAAGTTTTCACAATTATGAACGATTTGCTGAGACGCGATAAGGATTGTGGAGCTCGCAAACTTTTGATCAGGACGTACAAGGTAATAAAAGAATAAAGGAGGAATTATACTATTTATGTGATGGATTTAATTATTATTATTATTTCTGTTTTTTTTTTATCAAGGTTGTACCATTATCAACGTAGTGGTGTCATAGAATGGTGTGCCAATACGGTGCCCCTTGGTGCTTATCTTATGGTGAAGACAGAATTTCTGGAGCTCATACGAGATACAGGCCGAATGATTTGAAGCCCAGGAAAGCTCATGAGAATATGTCCGTAAGTAGATATGTGAAATTTTTCTGTTTCACAATAGTTATTTTAGTAATGGTATATTAATTTATTAGTTGGGTCAGCAATCAGGTTAGTATATATATAAATATAATGTACTATTTTATTTATTATTTCAGAGTATCGCTTCACAGCCAGTGAGTATTAAACTGCAAATGTTCATGAAAATTTGTGAAAACTTCCAACCGGTGTTTCAACATTTCTTCCTTGAGAATTTTCCAACACCGACAGTTTGGTTCGAAAGGAGACAAGCTTATACACATAGGTAGAAATAATTTACAATTTACTATACTTCTTAATTTCCTATACTCTTTTATTTAGGATGAAAACTGCATCTATACTTTAATTATTTATGAAAAGACTATTAAGGTCGAGAAATGCAAAAATTTTCATTTTCGATTTTCGGCCCATTACTATCACTACAGTACGGGAAGTTAAAAAAGGAAACCGTACTGAATTTATAAACAAAGTTGCAAAAAAAAAGTAAGTACAAATAGACAAGTATAATTATGATATTTCTTCATTACAGTGTTGCTACTAGTTCGATGGTTGGTTACATACTCGGTCTTGGGGATAGGCATGTGCAGAACATATTAGTCGATAAGAATACTGCTGAATTGATACATATAGATTTTGGTAAGTCAAAAATAGTTAACTACGATTTAGGCATAGTGTCGATAATAATATGATTATTAATTTTGCAGGAATTGCATTTGAACAAGGTAGAGTACTACCAACTCCTGAAACTGTGCCTTTTAGATTAACACGAGACGTTATTGCTGGTATGGGGGTTACTGGAATCGAGGGAGTTTTTAGAAGGTAAATAGAAAATTTAAGGGGCACAACTAGTGTGACATTTTCAAAAAATCGAATTTTTAATTTTTCCGTAATTCGATACCTTTAAAAATAACATACCAAAATTTTAAATCCATATCTTAAATAGATTTTGAGTTACAGCCATCTAAAGAGTATATATATATAGTATATAGTATAACGATAATTTTATCTTTAAACGCGTTTTTCTCGAAACAGCATTTTCCGAATTTGCTGCCGCGATTTCTCAAAAACAAATGATCCGATCACTATCAATTTTTTTTACATGTTCTATATATAGTTCTCCGTAAAATAAACTATCGATTTTGGATAAATTTGACTTTTTTTAAAAAAACGCCGTGATTTTGTCAATTTTTGATTTTTTTTCTTCATCGTAGTTTATTTTACAGACAATATTATCTAGTTTAACGAGATTTTTTTTTTTAAATTTCATCCACGTAGAAGGCCGGAATCACTGCAGCAGTGAAGGGCCTTTTTTGTCGCGCCTTTGGAGATCGACGATAACTTAAAAAATATTTAATTTTTTTCTTCAAAAATTTTACTATGTATTCTTAAGACATGCATAAATATATTCCTAAAATTTTGAAATGATTGATAAAGCAGTTTTTTTAAATATAAATTCTCAAAAATCACCTTTTTTCAAGACGGTTACACTAGTTGTGCTCCTTAATTCAGATAAGTCTATTATTATGTAGTCAGTCAGTAGTTGTAATTAGGTTTTTTATTGTAATGTATATGAGTAAGATAACTTTACTGTACCATTGAATAGCATTTTAACGAGCTCTACAGGACGCACCGCTTATATTACATTCTTTTAATTCAGATATGTTATACCTCAAAGTGTCTATTATAAGATCAAATACTAAAATTGATAGGTTTTCTAACAAAATTTTGAATTAAAAAAGATTTTACCTATGTGTGTGATATGTAAAGAGTAGTTATGTAGTTATGATTTAATATATGGTTGAAATGGCTCTTGGAAGATTGACATTTTTAAAGAGCTTTACAGGACGCACCGTTTGTACTACAATCTTGTAATTCAGATATGTCATTTTTCAAAGTGTCTATTATGAGATCAAATACTAAAATTGATAGATTTTCTAACAAAATTTTGAATTAAAAAAGATTTTACTTATGTATGTTATATGTAAAGAGAAGTTATGTAATTATGATTTAATATATGGTTGAAATGGCTCTTGGAAGATTGATATTTTTAAAGAGCTTTGCAGGACGCACCGTTTGTACTACAATCTTGTAATATAGATATGTTATTCTTCAAAGTGTCTATTATGGTCACAAATATTAAACTTGATAGGTTTTCTAACAAAATTTTGGATTAAAACAGATTTTATTTATAGACGTTATATAATTTCTGGGTTATTGTTCTGGATAGATTACTATTTTCAAAGAGCTCTACAGGACGCACCGTTTGTACTACAATCTTGTAAATCAGATATATCATTCTTCAAAGTATCTATTATATGATAAAATTCTAAAATTGATGGGTTTTCTAATAATATTTTGTTATAAAAGCAATGATATAAATAGATGCGTGAAGTATGGGTGAAATGACTATTGGATGATTAATATTTTCAAAGAGCTCTACAGGACGAACGCTTGTACTACAACCTTGTAAATCATATATGTCATTCTTCAAAGTGTCTATTATGATAACAAGTACTAATCTTGATGGGTTCTCTAATAATTTTTTTTAAATCCATTCATAAGTTGACTATTAACTAATTTAACATATTTTTTTTACTCAGTTGTTGTGAAAAAACAATGGTCGTACTTCGAAATAATCACGAAACGATCTTGACAATCCTGGAAGTATTATTATACGATCCTTTGTATGCCTGGACAGTCACACCTAGGAAAGCTTACAATCGACAACGTGATAGGGCTCCCGAGGCTGATCTAACAACCGAAAACAATCAAGGTAAACAAACTAAGTTGATAGAAATATATTCCATCAAAAAGCACACAATTTCTGGGATAGTATTTATATAGATTGGTATAGCACTCGATAGGGAATGCAATACCGATGGAAAATTTCAATACCGGTATTTCGGTAATTTTTCATTTTAAAACTGGAATACCGATAAATTACCGGTATTTTTATTTTTTTAAACAAACGTAAACAAAATTGAAAGTTACTAGTACAAATATAAAAAAATGTATATACAACTACAACTATATTCAACTAAACAATAAAAACAATAAAATAAAACAATAAGTTTATTTTTTTAAATAATAATTTAACAAAATTATATCCAATTTAATGAATTCATTATCACTATCGAGTATATTGAGTCTTTTCACCAAAAACAAACTTATGAGTAAGAAAGACCAAAAACTCATAAAAGATCATATTACATTATTATAATAAAACTGTATTGTCTGTATCCGATGTGTTAAATTAGCATAATCTCCAATATTTAAAAAAAAAATAATTTTCTACACTAAGTTAGGATCGGATACTTTGTCGAGATAAATAATAAGTTACTATAATTGTTGAGTATTGTTATTTAAAACAATATGATGCTTCTATAGTATTTTCAAACTTCAAAACGTTTTCGAAAAATAATATTTATAATTGTAATAAGAAGCAAAAATAAT